CGTTCTCCCAGTTGTCGTATTTTGCGGCTCTCGTTCGCCGAGGCCATTCTGCATTGCCCTTGTCGTGCTTCTCTCGCTGCGGATCGGGGCCACATGGAGAGACGAGAGGTGCTTTGTGATCGAGGCGAGGTGCGACGTTGAGTGAGAGAAGGAGGGGAGCGAGGAGGTGAGCGAGGAGGCGGCGTGGGACTGCGGGAGGGGCGCTTCCTGGTCTCTCGAGTGCCGCAGAAGCCCTCTGCACCACCCAGGTTCGGCTCTGTCCCGCAGCGAGGGCAGACGACTCGCTCGTCGCCGACGTCGTCCGCCCCTTGCTCCTCCACCACCTCGACCGCTCTACGCCCCGCTCGAGAGCCGACAAGACCACTGTCACTCTACCAAGGTGAGCCCTCTCTCTACCCTCGAGGTGCATGCGCGGTGCCAGAGCGGCTCGTCGAGTCCCTCGGCCGTCATCTCCCTCCCCTCCTCATCGCTCCACCTCGAGGGCGACACAGCCCCCCAGAGCATGCGGGTGCTGCCGTCGTGTCACCCAGTCCCACTGACACTGCACTCTGTCCGCAGCGTCGCCCTTCTCCAGACCCGACTCGCCCGCACCCACCCCCTCTCGCCTCCTCTCGCCCCCGCTCGCCGCCCTCTCAACCCACCCTCCAGCCCGCCCTCCAGCCCACCATGCCCCCTCGCACCAAGTCGAGCACCTCCAGGGCCGCCTCGGCCCCAAAGGCCAAGCCCTCGTTCGGCGCGCCGACCAAGAAGGCGCTCGCCGCCGCTGGACCCGCCGGCAAGGCCGCCGCCATCGTGCGCCACAACAGCGGGACGCCGCCCGTCGTCACGGCCGAGGTCAACAAGAAGGAGCTCGGGCCCTCGAGCATCGCGGGCTGTTACCCGGGCCTGTACAAGAAGGCCAAGCGCCTCATGGGCAAGCCGAGTGCGTCGTGCCTCGTCCTCACTCTGTCTCGCTCTCGCGGCGTCTCGGTCCGAGCTCGCACGGGACTGATACACGAAGGACAACACGCGCACAGTCCACGCCGACGAGATGGACGACATCGAGATCATCCTGCGCGTGTTTGACGCCGAGGAGGAGTACGGGCCGTGCAGCCGCATCAGGTGCGCCCCTCTCGCTCTCTCTCTCTCTCTTTCTCTCTCTGTCGCGAGGTCACCGTACTGACGAGCGTCGCACACGCCTCTGCAGCCGCCTCGAGCGCTTCGAGCGCGCCCAGAAGCTCGGCCTCAACCCGGACCCCGAGGTGCGTCGTCTTCCCCCTCTTGCCTCGGTCCTCGTGCACGCCGACTCACGCTCCCCGGAGCACTTGTCGCACAGATTGGCGAGATCCTGCGCTCCGAGGACGCCAAGCAGCGCAAGTCGTACAGTGAGAGCACGTTCCAGAGTGCGTCGGCCCGTTCTTCTCTCGCTCCTCGTTCTCGCCTCGTCTTGCAGCAGCGGGTCGTCGAGCTAACTCGATGTACGCCGCATCGCACAGTCTGAGCGGCACTGCCCTGCGTCGACCTCGTTCCCCTTTTCTTCCCCTCGACCTCGTCCTCGTTCGACCCTTTCTTGTTGTCCCTCCTCGCTCGTTCCTCGCTTGCTCTCCCTCGCCCCTTTCTCCGTCCTCGTCGTACATACCTCGCCTCGTCTCGCAATACAGCAGTGCCCTTTTGCCTCTCTCTCTCTCTCTGGCTTTCGTCGAGAGATGTACAATACGAGAGCTCGATTGCGTCCCTCCTCCAGTCTATAGTCTCTCTCTCCCTCGTTCCACCGGTGCCCGCTCAGACGCGGCAGTTTTGCAGTCCGACGACGAGGATGTCGCTTGCGCCGATCTCCTGTAGACGGGCGAACGAGGGAGGGAGGAGGACGAGTTAGTTCGCTCGAGGCGCGAGATGCGCTCACTCGAGACTGCGAGGGACGCCGAAGAGAGAGAGAGAGAGAAAGAAAGGGACGCACCTGAAGACGGTCCATGACGTCTGCGACCTGGGCCTTGAGCACCATCGAGCTGACGGCGACCCACTCAGGGTCGTCGAGCGGGCTCACGGTCGGCGCCCGCCTCCCCGGCGTCACCTTAGTCGCCTCGGGCACCATGTCGCGGCGGATGTTGTAGTTGCACAGGACAAACTTGCCCGCGGCGACGACGCCGGCGATGCGCTGCGAGATGCGGTCGATGAGGGCCGCGTGCGACGCGTCGCTAGAGGGCTTGGGCTTGTTGGACCGGATCAGGACGGCTTGAGAGGTGAGGATCGTCTCGATCGGGTGCAGGCCGGCGGCGCGCATCGTCTCGCCGGACTCTGTGGGGCGTGCGAGAGAGAGGCGTCAGGGGGAGGATCGAGAGGGAGGGAGGGAGGAGGTCCGAGAAGCGCACCGACGAGGTCGACTGCGGGAGACAAGGGCGAGTCAGTGTCGCGTCGAGGACACGCAGAGAGCGAGGAGAGAGAGGGATGAGGAGCGCACCGATGCCGTCTGCGAGCCCGAGAGCACACGCCGCCTCGACGCTGCCACCGACATACTCGATCTTGGTCTGGACGCCCTTTGCGCTCTTGCGGTCGAGCTCGCCAAAGTACTGGCCCGCGAGCACCTCGAAGCTGGTGACGACCTTGCGACCGACGAGGTCGTCGACCGTCTTGATGTCGCCCGCGAGCGGCACCTGGACCTGGAGCTTGCACTTGCCAAACTCGAGCGCGAGCACCTCGGACACGAGGCCGTTGACGTCGGCCTCGGCGACCATGTCCTGCCCAGTGATGCCAAAGTCGACGTTGCCCTCGCCGACGAACCGCGGGATGTCGGCCGCCGGGAGGAACACACTGCGGGCGACGAGAGAGCAGGTCAGCCCGGGTCTGGCGCTGTGGATGCGGGCCCTCGAGAGAGGGGGAGAAAGGGGACGCACAGAGCCATGTTGTGGTTGCGCACAAGGCACACATCGAGGCGGTTCGAGCGCGTGAACTGGACGTCGGCACCTGGACGCACGTTCGACGAGGACGACGGTCAGCTTGACTCGGCTGAGGGGACGGGGAGAGAGAGCGAGGGCGCACCGGCAAGGAGCTGGAGGCACTTCTCGTACAAGCGGCCTGTGTCGAACGAGCAAAGGGTGAGCTTGGGAGGCGCGGACGAGGGAGAGAGGACGGTGAGCGGACCCTTCTTGGGGATGGCGAACAGGACGCGGCCGGCGAGGCTCTCGGTGAGGAAGGCGCTCATGGTAGAGTGGATCGAGGGCTGTCGCGGTCTGTCTGGGCGGGCAAGAGGTCAGTACGAGTCCCGACTCGAACGAACAGATGAGATCGCGAGGGGAGCTCTGCAACGACGACGCCGCAACGGGTGGGGATGGGACGAGCTTGTAGACGTACGCGGAGAGTTCAGAAAGCTGTGTAGAGGTGCTCAGGCGAGCCAGGAGATGTTGGTCACGGTCGTCGGAGACCAAGTCCGAGCCTTGCCCGGCTCTCGCTCTCGCTCGTCCAACCTCGCCCAGCACAGGCGTGCACAGCTGCAACCGCACCACCATGCCCAGGCTGCGCCGCTCCCTGCGCATCGCCGCAGCGCGAGCCCTCGTCCTCCTCGTCCTCGCCGCCGTCCTCCTCGTCGCGACAAAGCACCGCTTCGCACCGCGACTCGTCCCGCCAGACCTCGCAGCAGCACGCTCAGTCCTCTGGGTCACGGCTCATCGTGCGCCCTTGCTCCCCCTCTTCTCCTCCCGCTCAAGAGGATCAACCCGGCTTACCCCTCTCTGCTCCCCTCTCGCCCGCTCTCTCCTCCACCAGCCGACGACGAGTCCTTCTTCTTCGCGCCAAGCATCCTCACCCTCCTCGACTCGCCCCACAACGCCCAGGGAGCCCTGCTCTGCCTCTCCATCGGTGCGTTCCTCCTCTCGCTCCCTCACTCGTCACCCTCGCCGAACTCTCACTCACGGTGCTCACATCGCAGGCAACCACGACGGCCTCGGCGGCATTCGACGACAAGAGCTCGGGGCGTCGTGCGACGCGCTCGGCATCGCGAGGGACCGCTGCACGGCGCTCGACCTGCCGTGCGTCCCCATCCTTCTCGACCCGGCCCTCGAAGCTCTCGCTCACGCTGCGTTCGCGCCCGCAGAACACTTCGAGACGACCCCACGGTGTGGTGGGAGACCGAGGAGGTCGAGCAGGTCGTTCGGCGCTACGTCAAGGCGTGGGACGTTGACGCGGTCCGTCCCCCTCCCTCTCTCTCTCCTCGCCGCGCTTTCAAGGGCGCCCGCTCACACGGCGACCGTCGAGCAGGTCATCTCGTTCGACGACTATGGCGTATCGGGCCACGCCAACCACCGTGCACTGTCCTCGGCGCTCAGGTTCGTCCCCGCTCGCGCTCGCGCATCTCGCCACTCCCTCCCTCGCTCGGACCTCGACTTTGACGGATTCTGCCCCGCCACGCAGCTCGATCGCCGCCGCCGACCCGTCCTTCCCTCCCGTCTACGCCGTCGAGTCGACCTCGGTCCTCGCCAAGTACACCTCGCTCGTCCTCCTCCCCCTCGCCCTCCTCGCGCGCCTCCTGCCCTCGTCCTCTCCCTCCTCGTCGCCCTCGAGCGCCCTCTTCGTCAACTCGCTCGCGCAGTACCGCGCGACCCGGCGCTCGTTCGCGGCGCACGAGAGCCAGGCCGTGTGGTTCAGGACGCTGTTCGTCGGCTGCAGCCGGTACTTGTGGTGGGTCGAGCTGAGGAGGGTCGGTGGGTAGCAGGTCGGGGCTCGCTCGCGGTGCAACTCTCGAGGATACAGAACTCTCGAGATGGTCGCAAAGAGAGAGAGGGTATCGTGCTCGTTTTCGCTCGCTCGCAGCGCTACTTGGCCGCCTCCCCCCTTGCTTGCGCCTCCATCTTGAGCTGCTTGCGCTCGGCCCTGGTCGGCCGGTTCCTCCTCCGCTGCCTCGGCTTCTTCGAGACCTGCTCGACGACCTCCTGCACCTGTGCGCTGCGCGCTCGTCAGAGCACGCCCGAGAGAGAGAGAGAGAGAGAGAGAGAGAGAGAGAGAGAGAGAGAGGGAGACGCACCTTAGCCTTGATCTTCGCTCCCGCCGTTTCCACCGCGCGCTCGAGCTTCCTCCGCTTCTTGTCGACGAGCGCCCGCTGCACTTCGATGGCCAGCTCGAGCGCGGCGAGGACCGAGGTGGCCGAGGCGAGCGACGCGCGGCGCCGCTCGAGGAGCGCGGTGGGTGAGCGAGGGGGAGGGGAAGCGGGCGGTGCGGGTGTGGCGGGTGCGGGTGACGATGGTGGCTCGGGCGCAGAGGCGCGAACGCGTGCGGGCGCGGGTGAGGGTGAGGGCGAGGGCGAGGCGGAGGATGCAGGCGCAGGAGGGGTGCGAGCGCGCCCAGGCGGCGTGGGCTTGTTGCCGTTGCGCGAGTCGAGGGGCGGCGGCGAGGGGCAGGGCGAGCGGTGTGCGGGGGCAAAGAGCTCGGGCGAGAGAGGGCGGACCTGGTGGATGGGCTGGGTGAGTCGTTCGCGGTGAACGAGGTCGAGGGGGGAAAAGAGAGTTTGCGACGGACCGCGTGTACGCTCGCTCTGACCGGGACTGGGCCGATCTGCTCGTCCGCCTGCGTTGTGGCCTGTAGGAAGAGGCCGACGTCAGGGCCCATTCGAGTGAGCTCAGGCTCGTGCAACGCACTCTGCGACCTTTGGGCGCCGTGCGCTTCATGGGCTTTCCGACGTGGCCGTCTTTCAGCATGATCGAGGGCTGCAGGGGCAATGGTCAGAGTCCTGCATCGAGTCGTTGAGAGAGAGAGAGAGAAACCGAGGGCGCACAAAGAAGTCGAGACGGCGCCTGAGCCGCTTTTGCGGCGGAGCGGCGTCCGAGATGCAGTCGTGCTCGCTGCGGATCTCGACGCACCGCCACCTCGGCTCGCCCTCGGGCGAGTCGCCGATCCTCCTCAGGCGGACGAGAAAAGGGCACAGGCTGCTGCGCAGGACGCAGTTGAACGCCGCGTCGGGCTCGCCGCCGGTCTCGCCCGTCCTGGGCGCGCTGATTGCGCCAAACGTGACGAAGCGGCCTTGTCGACGAGCGTCGGCCCGGATCGACGCCTCGAGCGTGTGGAGCGCGCGGAACCCGACAATCTCGTCGCCGGGCTCGAGCGGGTCGACGGCGAGAGGTTTCTCCTGCAGACGCCGCGAGCTGTTAGACTTCCGCCGAGGGAGAGGGCGGAGGAGGAGACGCACCGTGAGCGGCGAGGACAGTACAGCCCACTGGCTGTGCTCAGGATGGCTGGCGGCCTCGTGGTCGAGCGTGGCCGCCTGCGAGACCTCCCATTGACAGGCGCCGTCCGGCTTTGCCGCGTCGACGGCGGTGGCGCACAGGAGCGACTTCCTGCATTGTGACGCATCGTGGTTGGTCGGCCTGATGGCACACGAAGCTCGCAGGAGGGTGGGCGAGGCCGGGTGCCAGACGCGGACGAGGTAGTTGAAGCCGGCGCGAAGAGCGGCGAGTTGGGTCGCGAGGAGGAGGTCGATCCAGTGCCGCCAGACGGACCCGATGGGTGGCCAGAACTTGTGCGGCTTGGTCGACATGGCGGGTGTGCGGGAGCAGCGGTGCTCGACCGGCGTGTCGAGAGCGAGAGAGGGAAGCGAAAGCGAGCGACGGACGGACAAGCTGGGGTTCGGCGAGCACGGCGAGGCGTGTGCGCAGGTCTGACAGTTGCAGCGCGCGCTGTGCTCGGCGTGTGTACGGGTGCAGAGCCGGTCTGGAGCGAGGAGCGCAGCGTGCCGTCGTGGAGGAGAGCAAGCAAGATGCGATCGTCCGGCTCGAGGAGGAGAAGGGCGAGGAAAATCGGAACGGGCACCGCTTGCTGCTGGATGGCCTCTCGAGGTACTCGTACAGCTGTCTGACAGCCGAGCAGCTCGACAGGAGCAGTGGCCGGCGCAGGGTCGAGACGCCGGGGATGCCGTCGTCGTCGACCAAGTCCGCGCCCTTTGCTCCTCACCCACCACCGCTGCCACCAAGATGCGCCCTACTGCTCCCAACTGGCTCAAGCTCCTCGTGCCCGTCAAGCGCACCGTCGACTGTGCGCTCCCCTCCCTCTCCTCCCCCTCCCCCTCTCTCTCTCGCTCGCCGCCGCCTCCCCCACCGGTCCTCACCCGCGCTCCCTCCCTCGCCGCACAGATGCCGTCAAGATCCGCGTCGGCCCCAAAGGCGTCGAGACCAAAGGGCGCCATGACGGACTGGAGCTACGCCACGCTGACCGGGAGCCTCAAGGGCACGGGAGACGAGCACCAGGATACTACACGGCCTGTGAGATCTACCCCCAACTATGGACCTCCACCAGCCTGCCCGGCTGGTACAACTAGCCTCACATCTGTGCAGAGAGACTTGCCGACTCCCGACAACCATGACAAACTCGACCGACATCGCCGAACGTCTGGCTGACCGTCGCTCGGTGACTCGCGTCTCACCTGAGTGG